CCTTCAATTCGTCCAGATTTCGCGGCTTGTTCGCATATGCTCTAGCCTTGAGGTGTCCCCATAAGAAAAAATCGCATATGGATAAATCTGGGGACCGAGGAGTCCAATGAACATCGCCAAACCTGAAAATAAGGCGACCAGGGAAGAGTGGGCGAATAACGTCCATGGATGCTCGGGCTGTGTGGGCGGTCGCCCCCATCCTGCTGGAACCACACACGATTGGAACACGTCGCCATCGTAATTCAGGGAGAAAGAAGTTGGTGATCATGTCGACGTAGCGCTCTGAGTTCACGATAACATCACGACCATTACCGTCTTCGAAGAAGTAAGGGCCAATGATGCAAGTTTGCGATACAGCGCACCAAACCGCTACTTTTGGGCTGTGCAGCGGTCTTTCGTGTAACTGTTGCGGATTTCATTAGCCCAATAACGACAATTCTGCTGGTTAACCATGCTGTTTAGGTGAAAGTGGGCTTCGTCACTCATAAACAAAATGAGGTTCTCATTTTGATCGTTGTGTATAATCTCCGGGATGTAGCTGTTGCACAATGGCCAATTTGTAGGGGTGAAAGCGGAGATCCATATGCAAAATTCGCCTTACAGAACGATCACTAAGGCGAAGTGCAACTGCATGTTTCCGGGCAGATGGAGTCGGGCTGCGAAGAAAGACCTGTCGAACGCGTTCAACATTTTCAGGAGTTCGAACTGTTCGCGGCGCCCCTCTTGGTCTTCTGTTGATCAGTTCACCATGCCTGCGAAGTGATTTAACCCAACGAAGGATGGTGTTTCGAGAGGGAACAGCTCTATTCCGATGAATGTTTACCACTATTACCGTTTGCGATCGATTGCCGGTTCGATAAGAGTGATGAAACACCGACGCGCTGTTGTCATGTGTGTTTTAAATATTTAATTTAACGAAACTCACTTACTCACTACAAATTTTGGCTTAACTTAGACAAACTTAATGCCGTTTATTTGTTAATTACCCAATTTAAAAACGTTTTATATTAGAGTATAAAATTAGTAAGATTGTGGTGATTGTGGTCGATATAAAGCACTTAAAGTTGTAAACGATAAAGCCGTTTAGACAAAAATCTATTGACTTTTGGACCATGGGTCATATGAACTTTTTGACGTGTCTTGACCCCCCCCCCTCCTTTACCCATTTCAATAATGACTACCATTACGTTTACACCCTGTAGTGTAACTCGGCATTTGCCATTAGACAAAGCTGCTTCCGATCTCCCAACTTGAAATTGTCTTAGGCGAATGTCAATCAGTATTTACTGTGGACCGTACTAACGAATTCGATTGGATTTGAAGGAGTCACATTCCATGATGCATTCTGACGGACCAAGTAAATACTGATCATGTAACTGCTCTATGCGTATGTCCGAAACTGGCTTTGTATCTTGAAACAAGTAAAAAAATGGCGTCAAGTAGGTCGACTCTGCACTTTTCACGCAACGTTCTTATCAGTACATAAAGGCGTATGCTCAGCACAAACTGGACCCTCGGAGAAAGAAGTAGGTCCAATAAGTTCGTACAATTAGTCCATTGACATTATTTCTCTGCCCTACCGCTAGTGAATCTGAAAACGCCGCCTCTCCCCGATACCTAATTCGGGCAGACGTGGCACCGTGGTAGCGCGGTCAGAGCATAGAAAACACAATGCTGTTGCGCGGCAGAAATACGTGTGATTCCATACCAGAACACTCATCACGCCATCAGCAGCAGGCTAGGCCGATAGGTTTGTGATCTGTTTCCGAGAATACTTTTCAGTTTTAAAGCTAACGTACAGAAAAATCTATGACTTGTGAAATATGTCTAATAGGTGCGTAGAATTACCAATGTTGGGAGCGTACCATCATTAAAAAATTGTGATATTATATAGATTACTTTTTTTCGCTACTGGACTGATTTTCAAAAACTACAAAGCATTTGCGTCCTTGGCATAGTATCAACATTGTGTAAAAATTTCATCGAAATCCAAGCGGTACTTCCCCAGTTATTTTCATGATGTACATGTCATATTATAACATCCAAAATGCATAACTCATTTTCGAAAATTTTCGCGATTTCGCAAGTGGGTGAGTGAAGTAAAAGTGAATTTTTGAATGATGTCAATATTAAACAAGCTTTATCAATCTCCAGAACTTTTTAGACTATCAAAAAACGTAATTTCAAAGCTCTCGACTCCAGCAGATGTGCTTAGTTATTTGCGAAAAAGAATATTTTAAGCGTCTTAGATTGGCAATTAAGATTTACAGTGAGCCGGATGCTTTTATAGAAGGCTTATAAATAAGATAGAAGCTTCCAAAACCTAAATAACTGGATGCGTTGATAAAGAATTTTATGATGTACTCAAGTTTTTGTATTTAGTTTTGTAACAACTTCAAGTCTTTAACAGCGATTCCATCATGTTGAAATAGTTATTAAATTATCACTCTTTGTCACTGATTATAGGTTACAGTGCACTTGACAACTTATTCTTTAACCTTGCGCTTTCACATTCCGATTATACCGGCAAAACTGTGGAAACTTTAAAATTCGAGGCAAGTAAGCTTTGTGGATCTTCACATCACAAAAATCCAGAAGTGGCGATCAAATTCCGTCAGACTGTCCATTGTTGTACTTAATGTACTTTGAAGTACGATAGTAAAAGCAAAAGGTACCAAAGAAAGACCAGATGCCCTTATTATTTGATATATATACGAGCCCCTTCCCACTTCAGTTGGCCCAACTATTGAAATCTTAGTTTTTTTCTTATCAAACACAAATAATAAAAATGTAGCAGGGTGTTACAGGTTTAAAATATTAGCAATGAATATTTTGATAATATATGGTAGAAAACACCTTTACACTCCCTAATCAAATCTGCAGCATAAAAATAACACATGTTGCATTTACAGCATATCAACCTATTTTCATTTCAATGCAAAATAAGTCTATAACGCATAGGTGGCTGTGAAAAATAATAGTCATGACAATTGTTTTTATTAATCACAGCTGTCAGAATACGTTTAAAATAGTTTTGGTTTGTTAAGGTTTTCAAAATGGGTACAGAAAAGGTTATTAGAAGAGAAAATTCGGTTACTGATAATCAAATTTTTTAATTCTGGGAAATCAAACTCAGAAATTGCAACTTTGTTAGACTTATCGCGGTACAGTGTGAGAAATATTGTTAGAAGATATAACGTAACCGGTTCAGTTAATATTAAGTCAAGATATGTGAAAAAAAGTAATATCACAAATGCCGACCGAAGAGCATTAAGAAGAATAATCGTGAAAAACAGGCGTGCCAATTATTTACAATTAAGTGCTCTGTGGAGTGACGCTAATGGAAGGAGAATTTCGAGGTCCACAACTCATAGAGAGGCCCACAAACTGGGATTTAGCACCTGCAAGGTAAGTTTTCTTATAAAAAAAAGTGAAGTAAAAACCCTAAAGTTGCACAACTTGTTTGTAGGCCAAATAAAAGCCACTATTAACTCCACTGCAGAAGAAAAATCGGCTTTGATGGGCTAAAGAACATAGACAATGGACACCTCAACAATGTTGTGCAATACAACGGAGTGATGAGGCCCGATTCGAAGTTTGTGTTGGTGACAGTCGCAGTAGAGTTATTCGCAAAAAAATGAAGAATTCTATGTTGACTGTGTGAAGAGAAAAGTGCAATTTCCAGTATCCATTATGGTCTGGGGCAGTATGTCATCAAAAGGAGTAGGAAAACTTCATTTTATTGATGGAAATGTGGATACAAACAAATATTTGGCAATTTTAGAAGAATCGCTTTTACCAGTGATGGAATAATGTTTGACATCCGGCCAAGGTTTTGTGTTTCAGCAAGATGGTGCAGCGTGCCATACCTCAAAAAAGGCTATAAAATGGATGGAAGAAAATAATGTACCACTTTTGACATGGGTTTCTAGCAATCCAGATCTGTCACCTATTGAAACTTTGTGGCACGACATGAAAAAGGTTCTACGACAAACATCCTGCTCGTACAATCACCGAACTGAGACAAAAGCTTCAAGAAATATGGGATTGTTTTACACCAAATTTTTGCCAAAACTTGGTTAACACTATGCCCCAAAGAATTTCAGTCGGACTAAAAAATAAAGGTGATGTTACCCAATGGTAATCTTTCAATTGTTGCTTTGTTAACTTCTCGCATTTATTCGCACATTGTTTATTTGTTCAGATATTCTATTAGTTATAGGTCTAAGTGATTTCAAATATGTATTTTTTACGACCAGAGTGTATCTAAAATGTTTTTGAGAAAATAAATTGTTATAGAAGTTAATAGTTTCGTGATGTTTAGTTTATAAAGGCATATTTTGGTACAAATCTTGAAGTGGGAAGGGTCTCGTATATATATAAATTTTGGGAAATGTTTAAACTGGACATTCATGTCATGATAAGCCAGGCAAAAACGGGATGAACGTTCGTATATAGGACAGACGTCTAATATAATTAATGATGCTCTAAGTTCTCCACTGTAGAGGTTGTCAGCCGTTATTTGCATTTACTCACTGTTCAAGAGGAAATCTTTCATTACATTACTCAACATCCGTCCGTCATTTTATTAAACTTCTGGTTTTGCCTTTATCGTCTTTGAATAACTGCAAACTGAATTTCTATACTTTCTATATGGTTGCTCATACAGAGAAATTCAGGAAACGAAAAGCACTCAAAACTGATTTTCAGAAATTATTTCCTGTTATGGATTTCCTTATTAATTTGTAAAATCATGTTTACAATAATTATTGTTTTTTTAAGGTCATAGACATTTTGGATAGTCAAAAAGGTATCTATTTTAAGCCTTTTTAAGTGAGTCGCTGTGTATATACCTACGATTTTCATATTCTTTTGGAAATACGAATTAACGTTAGCTGATGCTTTTTTGAGGATTAAATTTAAACGAATTTCGAGCAGTCCAGAAATAATTCTATCCATGGGGCTCAATTCATTTCGAAAGTCTACTAGAAAAAACTTACGATGTCTCTCAAGTGGCACAATTTGTTCCTTATCCCATGGCACACAATTAAAAAATTAACTTGAAATCCTCAACACTCACTAAGTCATGTTCATTTTGACACACCTTCTGCACATATCCAGTTACATCACGAATATTGAGGAAAACCAAAGTAGAATTCATAAGCTCGCGTTCATGTTTCGCGAGTTGGCAACTTTTCAGCTTTCCACCGGCTCTTTCCGCGTCAAAAGTTTACATGCGACTGGCATTTTTTCACTTGTCCGTCGGTTCATTCAGAAAGAGGCTCTGCCAGTGTCTTCCCTGACAGCCAATCGCTGGTCGGAGCGGGAGTGCGCATGGTCCAATAGCACGCGGTCGGTGAAATAACACGTGTGAGTCCGGGTGTTCCGGGTGAGGCTTGTAGTGCCGAGCTTCAAAAAGGTAAAACGTCACAAAAAAAAGGACAAGAACGAAAACATTGGAGATCGTTCAGGAGCAATTAAAATATGCTATTTTTCAACATTGCGACAAAATCGTTGAGTATCTATTTTTGCGACGCAGCCGACATGTTGTACGTATGGGATAATATTAAAACTGAATTTTGAACCAGTTAAGCGTAACCAATTGAGCTGGAAGTTTCTATTCACATTTGGTTCGCGTAACAATACACAATGAATTAAATCCTACAATTTTGAATGCCATATGACATGCTACAAAATGGTGATTTACCATTTCCAGAGTCATCCATACGATATGGGTATCAGTGAAATGCAATTGCTGGTGTCAGATACAACACACTTGGACTAGTAGCACCATCGGCGGGTCCAGGATTTGTGTGGCACTGGTCAAAAAACTTGTTGTTATATTCTTTTAACGACCATCTGCGTGATGTTTATGAAACAGCGCGTTAGCATTCAGTTTGAATAAGAAAATTTCATTTCTTATTTTTTTTTTTTAAATGACTATTTGATTTCTAAAAAAATGACCGAGTGACCCTTTCATATCTCAAGGAGTGGAGGGGTTATTTTTTGATTTTGTGCTTACAGTGATATATTATTACCTGGCATATAATGTTATCTTCGTGGTATGAATCAGCCTCTTTCAGTCTAAAAAAGACTTTAATGCGTTTATTACAGTCTTTTCACATCTTCAATGCTTATAACAATAAACTTTCACAATACTGTGCATTTTTTTATTTGATGACATATCTTCGTGATAGTATCGTGGAAGAAATTTTATGAATGTATTATCAATTACATAGAGGATAAAATTTCAAGAGTGGGAGCTTCTGGCGAAGATATAATGGTGGTATTCAGTATTACACATGAAATGACATATAAAGATCTAAAAAATGTGAATATTGAGCTGCTTAAAGAACGATTAACAACTTTGCATTTGGATGATGTTTTCTATGTACAAGACATTGATACGAAAGTTTCAATTTTCACTGAGCGTTTGATTCACTTATATAATGAACTTGCCCCAATCAGGTCAGCACGCATTACCAAAGCTGCTGCTCCTTGGTTGACATCAAATCTAACGCATATACTTCGTTTGCGAGACAATGCGTTTCGGGCATATCAGGAAAATAAAACAGATCAAAATTGGCGGACGTATAAGGACCGTAGAAATTTTGCACTGGCCTCGATTCGCAGAGAAAAGAAGGCATATTTAACCCAGCTGGATATTTCGAACTCGGGAAAACCGTTGAAAAAATTTGAGAAGTATGAATATCTGTCAGCAGAAACGAATTGAGATTCCTGATAGTTTATCTGATCCAGAGGAAACTAATAATCATTTCCTCTCAAATTTTACATTCGACGATCACTCCAATAATGTAGTTAATAATACAGCCAATTTTTACACCAACAACCGTTTTGATAATAATTTGACTCCTTTCACTCTTCATACAGTAACACAAGAAATCGTTCTTGATATCATTTTATCGATTAAATCGACTGCCACTGGGAGTGATGGATTGAATTCAATAATGATACGACTTTGTTTGCCTGAAACACTTGACCACATAACTCACATAGTAAATATGTGTTTAGAGAAGGGCTTTTTCCCAACAAGCTGGAAAGAAGCTGTCATCACACCTATTGCTAAAGTCACAAACCCAGCTGAATACCATGATCTCAGACCGATCAGCATTTTATGTTTTCTTTCTAAGATATTAGAAAAGATCGTCTATCTACAGCTTATTGAGTACATTGAGCTTAATCATATGTTTCCGATACATCAGTCTGGATTCCGCAAGAATCATAGTACTACAACTGCTTTGTTATATATAATTGATAACATAATCAGAAATTTGGATGATCGCATTGGTACAATATTGGTTATGCTTGATTTATCTAAAGCGTTTGATTCTGTGAACCACCGTATACTTTTGAGTAAGTTGAAGTACCTTGGTTTAAGTAATACTGCTCTTATGTTCTTTGACTCTTACTTGTCTAATCGAACGCAAAAGGTCAAAACCAGTAAAGGTGTATCTGTGCCCAAGTATGTTCCTTCTGGAGTTCCACAGGGCTCGATCTTGGGACCTCTACTTTATTTGGTTTTCACGTTTGACTTGCATAACAGTGTTGAGCATTGCGCAATCCAAACTTATGCAGACGATACACAGTTAACATTTAATTTTGACTCTAGCAACTTCAATGAAATTTCTTATAAACTTAATGTCGACTTAGCTAATATTGATAATTTCTGCAAACGGCACTCACTGAAAATAAACCCTAGTAAATCGAATGCTATTGTCTTTAGTCCACATAATTTTCCAGTTAATGTTGTCAATGCGCGGGTTAAGTGGAAGAGCAGCTACAGCTGAACTTCGCCCGTATTTGGCTATTTTTTTATATAATCAGTCCTTTTGGAAATAAAGACGTTTATTATCATTATTATTATTATTATCTAATTCAACTGTCTGTGAATCATACTGTCATACCCTTAGTTAACGAAGCAAAAAACCTAGGCGTTATTTTGGATAAAGACCTCCGTTTTAATCAGCACGTGAATGCCACCCTTAAATCCACATATATATCGTTAAAATTATTATATTCAAACCGGCACATTCTTAATTTCAAAACGCGGAAAAAACTTGTTGAGAGTCTTGTTATGTCTAAAATATTTTATTCGCTGGTTCTTTATTATCCTTGTATTGATTATAACACTAAATATAGACTGCAGAAAATCCAAAACAGTTGTTGTCGGTTCGTATATGGTCTCAGAAGGTATGATCACGTATCGTCTAAGATAAAAGAGCTAAAATGGCTAAAACTTGATAAACACTATACTTTCTCTTTGGGTGTATTTGTCCATAAATTGATTTCCACAAGGTCACCCATTTATCTTATGGACAAACCTGTACCTCGTGGTCAAGTCATTTCTAGAGCCCTACGACATAACCATCTCTTCGGTATGCCATTCCACAGAACATGTATATTCCGAAGATGTTTTACGTACAATGCTATCAGGACTTACAACTCTGTCAACCAGGTACTCAAGTCCAAAAGCTTACCTGTTTTTAAAATTAAATACAAATCTCTCTTTTGGAATTGCCTTTTTAAAAATCCCTGATGATTAGCCGACTGATTTTGTAGCTTTTGTAAATTTTCCATGCTTTATACATTCTGTAATTGTTCATTGTTTTCTTTTTATTTTCTGTACTGTACTATTGTCCTTATTATTATTATTATTTTTTCACTTCGTTTTTGAGGTTAAGTGGTAGAGTAGCCATGTGGCTAAACTTCGCCTCAATTCGAAGGTTTCAATAAAGACATTTATTATTATTATTATTATTATTATTATTATTATTGAGCGTAATGAATACGGTGCAGGTTCAAATGCAAAAGAAAGAAATATACTTGATGATGGCTCAAAGATGCATTTCAACAGCATTAAAAAAATTAAAATGAGAAAGAGATGGAATGGGAGAATCCTGGTTCTTCCGTTGTCAGAAAGAGGAAAATCAAACAAATGTTCTACGAAAAAGCTGCTGACTCGCCACTGGAAGCACACGAAGAACATCGAATAAATTACTACGAAGTTGTGGATTCAATGAGTAACGAATTGCAAGAACGCACTGAAGGATTTCGTGAAGTGAATGATGTGTTTTGTTTTTTGATACCAGAGAAATTAGTCAATCTAAAAGGAAACGAATTAGAAACCAGCGTCACTAATTTGACGGAAAAATATTCGGAATTTTTCACTACAGATCTAAAATATGAATTAGCCAGTTTTACGAGCATGTACTTTTCGGAAAATCGTAATTTTACTAATGACAGCTCGCTAGATTATTTGAAGTTCATGATTGCAAACAATTTTGTAGACAGTTTTCCAGAGAGCTGCAGTTTATTCAGATTGTTTTTGACTTTTCCTATCGGTTCAGATAGTGCTGAAGGTGTCATGGGCTCTTTGAAAATTATTAAAGAATACTCAACAACTTGTCTATCCTCTATATCGAAAGATCAGTACCTAATACACTCAATTTGGATTCTGCGATGGAAGTTTTTGCTGAACGAAAAGCAAGACGCGGATTTAAATTAGAATAACTCTGTTATTTTGTATTGAATAAAATATGTTTGATCTCACAATCTCTAGTTGATTCAGCTTATATAGACATATAGTAAAAAACAGAGGTAACAGTGCGCAGCAGCTACTATTGTGCATATAATTGTACGCCCCTGTTAATATGTGACATTCTTAATGCCAGCAAAATCTTTAGTTCGAACTTTATCTGAATAATTTAGACGGATTTTACGTTATCGAAAAGTTTTAGATCCGTGTGAATATTGAAACATTTGAATTAGCTGTTTGATTGGCATCTTGAAGCAACATCAGATTAACTTTTTGCATCAAATTACTAATAAAAAACCTTTTGCACTATCCATGAGCTTGTTTCGGTTACTTGTGCAGGTCTTTCTAATTTTTTTATTCTCAGTTGCCGTCATTAATTTGCAAATAGCGATAAATGTGGAGAATATCACTTTCCCAAATATTGCCCAGTATACAGGGTGACTTCGAAGTTGAGTCATTTATTTTAACAGTGAGGAGATCTGATCAAAAGAAATGTTTTTTCCTTTA